GCAAAATTAATGAGAAGAGTTGTGACAGACGAGGATTGTAGGATCCTCCAAGAGGACTTAAACAGGTTGCAGAGATGATCAGGGAAATGGCTACTGGAGCTTAACACCAGTAAATGTAAAGTTATGGAAATGGGATCAGGTGATAGGAGACCAAAGGGACAGTACACGATGAAGGGGAACTGCCTACCTATAACGATTCGAGAAAGAGACCTGGGAGTGGATGTGACACCTAATCTAACTCCTGAGGCACATATAAATAGGATAACGACAGCAGCGTACTCTACACTGGCGAAAATTAGAACTTCATTCAGAAACCTAAATGAGGAGGCATTTAGGGCTCTTTACACTGCCTACGTGAGATCCGTCTTAGAGTATGCCGCGCCATCATGGAGCCCCCACCTGAAGAAACACATAAGGAAACTGGAGAAGGTTCAGAGGTTTGCGACGAGGCTTGTCCCAGAGTTACGAGGGATGGGATATGAAGAGCGTCTGAAGGAACTGAACCTTACGACACTAGAGAAAAGAAGGGAGAGAGGAGATATGATAGGGACATATAAAATACTCAGGGGAATTGACAAAGTGGAAATAGATGAAATGTTCACACGTAATAATAACAGAACGAGGGGACATGGGTGGAAACTGGAAACTCAGATGAGTCACAAAGATGTTAGGAAGTTTTCTTTTAGCGTGAGAGTAGTGGAAAAATGGAATGCACTTGGGGAACAGGTTGTGGAAGCAAACTCTATTCATACTTTTAAAACTAGGTATGATAGGGAAATGGGACAGGAGTCATTGCTGTAAACAACCGATAGCTGGAAGGGCGGGATCCAAGAGTCAATGCTCGATCCTGCAAGCACAAATAGGTGAGTACACACACACACACACACACACACACACACACACACACACACACACACACACACACACACACACACACACACACACACACACACACACACACACACACACACACACACACACACACACACACACACACACGCACACACACACACGCACACACACACATAATTAGGCTAAGACTGGTTACACACCTGGAGAACATTAGGTTTGTAAACAAGCATCAACATGGGTTCTGGACAGGGAAATCTTGCCTAACATACCTTTTGGAATTCTATGGTAAAATAACGAGGATAAGGCAGGACAGAGAAGGTTGGGCAGACTGCATATTTCTGGACTGCCAGAAAGCCTTTGATACAGTGCTGCACATGAGATTGGAATTGAAACTTGAGAGGCAGGCGGGGGTGGGAGGAAAGGTCCTAGCATGGATAAGGAACTACCTAACAGGAAGGAGCCAGAGAGTTACGGTAAGGGGCGAGAAGTCGGACTGGCGAACAGTAACGAGTGGAGTACCTCAAGGATCGGTGCTGGGACCAATTGTATTTCTAAGATATGTTAACGACATGTTTACAGGAGTAGAGTCCTACATGTCGATGTTCGCGGATGATGCAAAGTTGATGAGAAGAGTTGTGACAGATGAGGATTGTAGGATCCTTCAAGAGGACTTGAACAGGTTGCAGAGATGGTCAGAGAAATGGCTACTGGAGTTCAAGACGAGCAAATGTAAAGTTATGGAAATGGGACTAGTTGATAGGAGACCAAAGGGACAGTACACAATGAAGGGGAACTGCCTACCTGAGACGACGCGAGAAAAAGACTTGGGCTTGGACATAACACTTAATCTATCTCCTGAGGCACATATAAATAGGACAACGACAGCAGCGTACTCTACACTGGCAAAAGATAGACCATCATTCAGAAATCTAAGTAAGGAGGCATTTAGGGTGCTTTACACTGCCTACGGGAGGCCAGTCTTAGAGTATGCCGGGTATGTCGGCATACTCTAAGACTCATACTCATTCTCGGCATAGAGTCCCATACTCTAAGACTCTAAGAGTCTTAGAGTATGGGACTCATCATGGAGTCCCCATCTGAAGAAACACATAAGGAAACTGGAAAAAGTTCAGAAGTTTGCAACGAGACTCGTCCCAGCGTTAAGAGGGATGGGGTATGAAGACCACCTGAAGGAACTGAGCCTTACGACACTAGAAGAAAATAATGGAGAGAGGGGATATGATAGGAACGTATACAATACCCAGGGGAATTGACAGAGTGGACATAGACGAAAAGTTCACACGGAATAGTAACAGAACGAGGGGACATGGGTGGAAGCTGGAAACTCAGATGAGTCACAGAGATGTTAGGAAGTTTACTTTTAGCGTGAGAGTAGTGGAAAAATGGAATGCACTTAAGGAGCAGGTTGTGGAAGCAAACTCTATTCATAATTTTAAAACTAAGTATGATAGGGAAATAGGACCGGAGTCATTGCTGTAAACAACCGATGGCTCGAAAGGCGGGATCCAAGAGTCAATGCTCGATCCTGCAGACAAAAATAGGTGGGTACAAATAGGTGAGTACACACACACAGAAACGTATACTCTTGCAAGTACGCTCATTAACACACATCTACGCTAACATCCATAACCTCACATGTACTCTCACAAAAAACGTTGACATGCAAGCACTCTCGCAAAGACCCTCACACATAAACGAATACTCCCATGCACACACATTCGCCTGCGACTCACATTCCAGGGACTCGGATTCTATTGCCTGCTGAGATATAAACAGTTGAGCAGAGTTTCTTTCACCCAATGAAACTGTTCATTATTGGGTCCGATATAATTAACTCCTAGATACCTAGGAGTTAGGTACCTAGGAGTTAGGTACCTAGGAGTTAGGTACCTAGGAGTTAGGTACCTAGGAGTTAGGTACCTAGGAGTTAGGTACCTAAGAGTTAGGTACCTAGGAGTTAGGTACCTAGGAGTTAGGTACCTAGGAGTTAGGTACTCCTAGGCAACTAGGAGTTAGACAGCTGTTGTGGGTTTCATTCTGTGTATGTGTATATTTGAAAAAGAGGTAAATGTACAATAAATATGATTGAGAAATATAGTTCGTGAGTCATTATACTGACACCCGATGGTGTCAGTATAATGGGTTCCAAGAACTAATAGCTCGGTCATGCAGGCAAAAATACGTAAATACACATTTATTGATCATATATTTCGAAGAAACTGCTTCGCTGGATCTTCGCGACTAAAACTGACCAATGAAACTGTAGAGTCACGAGATGTTATAAATAGGGTCCCACAGGGGTCAGTATTTGATCTTTTTTATTCCTGATTAATACAAATGACCAATATTGGGTAGACACCGTTCTCTCAATATTTGCTAAACAATCAAAAGTTATAAGGATATATACGATAGAAGACAGTAAGAAGCTACTTGACGTCGTGGACATACTAAAAGAATGGCCCACCAAATGACTAATATAATTTAACTCTTGCAAGTGCAGACTAATGAAGCTGATTACTGGGAACACGACGCCGTATAAACAGCCGCATAGAAAATATCAGATCAGAGAGGAAACCTTCTGGAATTGGATAAATATTTATTATTAACATATGTATTGACAAAATTAATATACAATTTTATCTAATCGGAGTAATCAAATTAGTTCTTATTTCAGTACTGCTGATATTGAATGCGACATATGACATAGGATCATACAAAACTCAATAGGTCTATTAAATAGACTGAAGTACAATTATTTTTTAAAGGAAAAGAACTGAAAGATGTTATCTATCAAAACCTGTCTTCCGAGGCACACATCAAATTATCCTCAGTTTCATATGAATAGATGGCAAATATAAAACTTACCTTTAGAAACTTGAATACAGAGACATGCAGACTCTGTTTTCAACATATGTCAGACCAATTCAGTAAAATGCGGCACAACACAGAGGAGTTATGATCTCGTTAAAAACCCAAGCTGGAGAAATTCTATATATACGCCGGAAAGTTTGCTCCAGCGCTCGAAGGTTCGAGGTATAAGGTAAAATTTACCAAATAAACCTAAGATCAATGGAAGATATGAGTTAGTGATGAAATTATTATCACAAAAAAATTGTCACAGTAAGTAACAAAACATACGGATTTAGCAATATGACAAGAGAAAGACACAGGTGGAAATTAAAAAGCCAAATAAGACTTAGTTATATTTTAAAGATTGTTATTAGGTCATGACAGTGAGCAAAATGAATATACTAACAAGTAAAATAATTGAGATTTTGAATTAATTTGGGTAATTGAATTAATACACAGCTATCTTCGAATGCAAACATACCTCAGCCAAATATGCTCTATATTATATGCACCCTTCAATTGAGAGTTTGGAGACGGGTCGATGGAGCTGGATCATTACTATGTATAAACCAAACACGATAATCGAAGATATTTATGGTTCACACTACCGACAACCATTAGCAAACAACTGCATTTTGGTGACGGACATAGTGGTGCAGAGAAAGTAAATAAAAGTTTCTATGGCGAAAGAACATATAAACAGAAATCACACACAGAGATCGCACTAACGTGATGCATCAAATGAACAAATCCACAAGGGCTGTGACGAGGATTCGAACCTGCGTCCGGGAGCATCCCAGACACTCAGTCGATTAAGGTAGTGTCTGGGAAGCTCCCGGACGCAGGTTCGAATCCTCGTCACGGCCCTTGTGGATTTGTTCATATAAACAGAAAATACTTCATTAAAATCAATGCATTTACATTTTGACATTATAGATAAGGAGTATATATTTTTTTTAATGCAGGGATATTCCTGCGCGGGCCCTAAACCTCTGGCTGGCCCACTAAGTGTTGCTTGTTTCTGTTTTACTTGGGCGGAGTATGAGTATTTATGACTCGTATGGACGCTTCACTAAGATTTTACCATATGTGTTTAACAACTTCTTCTGCTCTGTTGAATCTAAGTTGAAATCTTAATAAAGAGCATAGATAGGTTAGGAGTTCTAGTGTTCATCCTAAGCTTATGGGATGGTAAAAACACAATGAGAAAAAAGCAGTTAGAGTTTACGCACTGAGATAAAAACTGTCCTTGAAAATCGAGGCCCACAAGTCCACAGGAGAGAGCCCCGCCCCTGCCTGCTGGTATAAAAGGACGCGCTCCATCCACCTGGCCACAGTCAGCTGATACTTCACAACTATGAAGATCTTGGTTAGTGACATCTAACTTTGTTTTAAATATTTGTTTCTGTAGCGCAGTATAAGCTATTGCAGTACATTGTTGTTAATAGTGGTAAATCTCTTAGTGCAGAAAGTGTACACACAAACACACATACACACACACACACACACACACACACACACACACACACACACACACACACACACACACACACACACACACACACACACACACACACACACACACACACACACACACACACACACACACACACACACACACACACACACACACACACACACACACACACACACACACACACACACACACACACACACACACACACACACACACACACACACACACACACACACACACACACACACACACACACACACACACACACACACACACACACACACACACACACACACACACAAGCGGCGACCTAGACAAGCTGAAGGAATGGTCGAACAAATGGTTGTTAGAGTTTAACCCAACCAAATGTAATGTAATGAAGATAGGTGTAGGGAGCAGGAGGCCAGATACAAGGTATCATCTGGGAGAGGAAATTCTTCAGGAGTCAGAGAAGGAAAAAGACTTGGGGGTTGATATCACGCCAGACCTGTCTCCTGCAGCACATATCAAGCGGATACCATCAGCGGCATATGCCAGGCTGGCCAACATACGAACGGCATTCAGAAACTTGTGTAAAGAATCATTCAGAACTTTGTATACCACATATGTCAGGCCAATCCTGGAGTATGCAGCCCCAGCATGGAGTCCATATCTAGTCAAGGATAAGACTAAACTGGAAAAGGTTCAAAGGTTTGCCACCAGACTAGTACCCGAGCTGAGAGGTATGAGCTACGAGGAGAGACTACGGGAATTAAACCTCACTTCGCTGGAAGACAGAAGAGTTAGGGGGGACATGATCACCACATTCAAGATTCTGAAGAGGATTGATAGGGTAGATAAAGACAGTCTATTTAACACAAGGGGAACACGCACAAGGGGACACAGGTGGAAACTGAGTGCCCAAATGAGCCACAGAGATATTAGAAAGAACTTTTTTAGTGTCAGAGTGGTTGACAAATGGAATGCATTAGGAAGTGATGTGGTGGAGGCTGACTCCATACACAGTTTCAAGTGTAGATATGACAGAGCCCAGTAGGCTCATGAATCTGTACACCTGTTGATTGACGGTTGAGAGGCTGGACCAAAGAGCCAGAGCTCAACCCCCGCAAACACAACTAGGTGAGTACAACTAGGTGAGTACACACACACACACACACATATATATATATATATATATATATATATATATATATATATATATATATATATATATATATATATATATATATATATATATATATATATATTTATATTTATATCTTTTTGTAGGTTTATATTTCTTCAATAACATTTAAGCATAACATCGTGTAATATTATTGTTTACTTAACAGGTCATTGTTGCCACCCTGGCGGCCTTCTGCTTGGTTAACACAAGTGCTGATCCTGCCCCAGATCCTGAGCCCGGTTACCTAGGCGGCTTTGGCGGAGGATTTGGAGGCTTCAGGAGAGGTTATGGAGGCTACGGAGGCTACGGACTCTATGGTCGTAAAAAGAGGAGCGCCGAGGCTGTTGCTGAACCTGAAGCTGAGCCCGGTTTCCTAGGCGGCTTTGGCGGAGGCTTTGGAGGCTTCAGGAGAGGTTATGGAGGCTACGGAGGCTATGGACTCTATGGTCGTAAAAAGAGGAGCGCCGAGCCTGTAGCTGAAGCTGAAGCTGAGCCTGGTTTCCTAGGCGGCTTTGGCGGAGGCTTTGGAGGCTTCAGGAGAGGTTATGGAGGCTACGGAGGCTATGGACTCTATGGTCGTAAAAAGAGGAGCGCCGAACCTGTTGCTGAAGCTGAGCCTGGTTTCCTAGGGGGCTTTGGCGGAGGCTTTGGAGGCTTCGGGAGAGGTTATGGTGGATATGGTGGCTACGGATATTATGGTTGAATATCAACTATTAGCAGCTGACCGTTCTCTTTTCCTTTCATTACTGAATATTTTAAAATGAAAAATATATATAACAAGAAAGTCA